TAACTTCTCCACTTCGGAACAGTGGAGACCATCTAGCATGATTTTCAAATCATTCAACGAAAGATCCGTTGACACTGGACCTTCATCAGCTTCTCCCTTAAATTCGAGAGCTCCTAAACCTCTCAACTCTTTTGCTACGTTCATTCTTTGAGTTAGTGGAGCAGAAGGTTGAAGACGCATCAAAATAACGTCTAACGTTCTGAAAAACGTATCCTGATCTTGCACATACACTCCTTGAGATGCTTGTTCTTCACCTTGCCTAGCCAAGGCAGGTGAATTATTGCTTTCAGCAGGCCTATATTCTGTCGCTTCACTTCGGGAGCTATTATGTCCGGACATCTAATAAAATAAACACATTGTTCTATTAGCAAAACAACATACTCATACTATACCATATCAAAATTTCTCACTATATGTTGGCATGTATTTCACCTAAAGACTCTATAGACTCTGGTTTATGCCTAGAATTGGCTAAACCATAGCTCTGATACCATTAAATGTAACACCCCCAACCCGTACCCAACCCGGATACGAGTCAGAGATATTACATTGACTTTTAAAACACAACTCTTAACAAATAATAGCAAAATACTTGAACTTATATAACAAAATACGATAATATACATATAATATAATTACCAAAATATTCAGAGCATACACAACTTAACCCTTTAATTACATGCCAATTCCATTTATAACAAAATGACCTACTGATTAAGTTGCTTGATCTGATGGTTGCAGGAGTAATGTTGTCCAGCTGCTAACCTGTCTCGTTTACTTTCTATCCTACGTGTGAAACACTCACACGCTAAGTCATCAACTTAGTGAGGCAATGTAATAATAATAACAAGGAATGTAATGAAATGTCATAATGATATGAAATGGGATGAAAGCGTATACTTAATCCTGTACATCACCATTATCCTTACCTGTAAGCATATAACTTTAACATTCATGAATTTGTATTAATAAATTTATTGGCCCATGATCAATTGAGAACCTAAGGTATGTGAGTATGTGAGGTTGTGCACTATGCTGTCACCACAGCTCATAATGCACCGAAGTGCCGCGTAGAATTGCACCGTAGTGCCATATATAATGCCAAAGGACCACATAGAATTCCTTAAGAATCATATACATATACTAGGGATCAAGTATGTGTCTCACAAGACTTCACATATTCAAAGAATAGTATATATCCGAAGGACCGCGTAGAATTTTGTCCCGAATGACGCGTAGACCCTCTACCATTGGCATGCCAACTATACCTATATCTCATCAACATAACATGGCCGAAGTGCCGCGTAGAATTGCACCGTAGTGCCATATAATAATGTCCAAAGGACCACATAGAATTCCTTAAGAATCATATACATATACTAGGGATCAAGTATGTGTCTCACAAGACTTCACATATTCCAAAGAATATATATATCCGAAGGACCGCGTAGAATTTTGTCCCGAATGACCGCGTAGACCCTCTACCATTGGCATGCCAACTATACCTATAGTTCTCATCAACATAACATGGGCTTTTACATTTCACGTAGTTTATCACGTAGACATGTAATTCTTACCTTTTCACATAGCTCATATAACTTTTCCTGCACATTCATGTCACTAATGCATTTTATAATTCATGTCATGCTCATAATACAAAATATGATCATGTATCAAGATATAAAATCTAGACTTTCACAAGTATATAATTGAGTATATTTCTATAATCATACTATACATATGCACTCACCTATATTTCCTTGCTTTCTATCTTTTAATGAAGGTGTGCATCGACTATACAGTGTATCGATGCATTCCCTATCGGTATATCGATGCACTACCTGTGCATCGGTGCATAAATGACATTCGATGTTTGCATTTTAAGGGGATGCATCGATGTACTCCTTATGCATCGATGCATTAATTGCATTCGATGTTTGTTTATTTGAGAGTGCATCGATGCACATTGAAGATGCGATGCACAACCCAAAATCCCATTGCAAGCACGAAATTCACTCTTTTCGTCTCAACTCTTCATCTTTCACCCTCCTTAATATTTCTAACTTATACACCTACTTAAACAGATTAATACCCATTTATACCTCTTAACCTTACAAATCCAATCATTAATACCGAATTCAAGAATCTTACTCAAGTTTCAACATTCTAAATCTAGTTCTAACACTTCATATCATTTACTTCCACTCGTGACAAGTCAAATTCAACTTCTAAATCCATTTATACATCCTTATTCAAGATTTCACTTATCCACTTCTTATCTTTAATCCTTCATAACTCACCAATCTTTGAGTTTCTATAATATTTTTCATCTCCATAATCTTTCCTAAAGCTTCATAAATCAAACCCATACTTTAATTTGAAGGATTAACCAAAAGAAATCAAACTTACCTTAGGTTGTGGTGCTTTACGTTGAAGAAGAAAATGAAGAAGAAAGAAGAATCAAGAGTTATCTGGAAACTCTTATTTCTTTTCCTTGGGTATTATAATACCCAGTATCTAATATTTAATTATTACCTTTGCTCATGACCCTTTTACCCTTTAATTCTCATTCACTTATTAATTCATCCTACACCAACATCTTTAATTATTCCTTCACTTTTAGATTTATTTAATTTGATCACGGAAATTTAAAAATCTTACACTTTAATCTCTAACCCGGTATTGAGGATGTTACAGAAGGTGTATCAGACGTGATATCACCAAGCAATTAAGGATTTCAACCTTAATTTTAAACAAGGGTAAAATTGTATCTTTGGTCCCTTCTATTCTGACTACAGATGAAAAACACTCTTTTTATTTCACTGTTGGGCTCAACTCAAGCCCAAATCCTCTTCAATTTGGGTCAAGGCCTCCTACAAGCTAAGAAATTAAACCAAGGCTCATCTTGGGTTAGCCCAATACTTCTAACCCGAGATTTAGGGCGTTGAACCTAGGCTAGACGCAGATCTAGTCGTCACACTACTCTACTGCCCAGATGCAGAGCCGCCTCCTCTAACTAGCTCTCAACCTCTCTGTACTAATGGTACATATTGCTAAGTCACCACTGTTGCTGCACTCTAAGCTCTTGGGCAGTCTATGGCAAAATGGCTCATGGAGCCGCTAGTATAACAATCTTCATACCCTAGTCGACATGTCCCTAGGTGCATTTTTCAGCACCTAGAACATTGGGTAAAGGTGAACCTTCCAGTGGCTCACTTGAAACACCCACAGAAGCTAAGTTCAATGGCCTCCTCCTCAAATCAGACTTGACTCCACGACTCAAACTCTACTAGTCTTCTAAAATTGTTACCAGGGGTCTTGACGAACCCTGACTGTCTCTGACCCTTTGGTCGGGGGGCCTGCGATGGCCTCAGTGGCTCTCATGACTTGTCTTGCAGCCTCATTGGGTTGCCTAGTATGTCTATCTAAGGCTCTCTCAACTACCTTCACCTAGTGGGACAGTTGAACAAAGACTCTAGAAGGATCTACTGCAAGATGGGTCAAAATGTCACCCCAAAGGCCCTCTCTGAACCGATAACAATAATGCTCCTTAGTCGAGATCAACTATGTGGCATATTTACTAAGTTAGATAAACTCTCGCTCGTACTCCCCCACTGAGCGATCACCCTGTGTCAAGTATAGGAACTGTTCCATCATGTCATCAGTATGAATTTGTCTGACGTACTTCTCTCTGAATTGGGTGAGGAACTGCTCCCAAGTAGGCCTCTCTGGCTCCATCTTCAACTCTATAGTCTCCCACCACTCTATCGCATCACCCTTAATCAGGGAGGTGACGCATTTTAAGTTACCCGCTGGGGCGAGATGCAATTGTCTGAGGGTACGAAACTTCTCTCTGAGCCACTGATCCACTACGATAGGATCATCATCCTTATAATCGAAGAACTCGGTGGTCTTATATCGACGGAGTCACTCTACTAGGGACTCTTATGGAATGGGCACTGGCTAAGCTAGGGGTACTAGTGGTGAAGGTGGTGCAACTGAAGAACTAGGGAGAAACCTATCTATCTTCCTAAGTACAGAGATGAAGTCCCTGAAAAAGGAAAAATTGATGCCTTCAAACAAACAGTAGAAGCTGAACATGCAGTTAAGGTTAACATGGAGAAGGTTGGAGAGGTGTCAAGGGAAAATTCATATGTACAGGAGTCAATATGACAAGTGAAGCTTACATCTCTTGAAGTACAACAAAAACAAGCCAAAATGTTCACAGAAAATGATTCTCAGAGGCAATTATATAAAACTACCCTTAAGGAGTCAACAAAGAAGTTACTGGCTTTGAAGAACGAATTTGACCCTGATCTTATACGAAATCTTGAAGCACAACTGATTGAAACGGATAACCAGATTGGGGCTTTGCAGAAGCAGATGGAAAATGCAAAGGCTTCATATCTGGAATATGTGCAAACTGTTACCTCAAAGCTAGATGGTGCTAAAGAATTACTGTAAGAAGTCGCTGACGAAGAGAAGTCCTTGAGAAGTTTGGTCGAGTCTCTTAAGGTGGAACTAGAAATTGTGAATAAAGAGCATTCAGAGCTGAATTAGAATGAAGCAGAAACAGAGAGTCCATTGTCGGGAATCTGCATGTTAAGCTTCGGAAAAATAAAGTTGAGCTTGAAACTTTCCTTGCAGAGGAATCCAAAACTAGAGGCTACTGTGAAGAAATGATTTCAACCCTTCAACAGTTATCAGTGGAAACAGAACATGCACGGGGAGAAGCGAAAGAGATGAAAAAGAAAGCTTAGAAGCTAAAGGTTGACTAGTGTTTATTTTGTGCTACTTTTCGTGCTTAAATGCTATTTGTTTGTCCATGTTTACTATTGAGTTGAATGCTTTTACATGCTTTTTGTGCAGAAATTTTGTTTTGGATTTCACTATGTTCCTTCAGGAATTTTGTTTGGCATTTGCCGAAATCCACGTTGGCGTGGCCATATGAAGCAGCAAAATTCTCATTAATGCATATAATCATTAATCAACAATCTATCTTAAGAAAATTATTGAAGAAAGCTGCATTTAGTAGAAGTGTGAGGGTCTTGTTTCATACAGAATCTCATAAAGCCAAAAGGCATGCGCTATTATCTAAAATCTGCGGGAGATGAAATACAATGCCTCTCATTCTGTGGTAGATGAGTTCGAATGTGACAGTTACGTAACCGGTTCTATCTAAAATCTAATGACCAAATTTAAGGTCATTTATGGAGTTGCACAGACCATTATGGTCTGCAAGCTTGTGAAACTTGGATTCAATTGTCTGTGCGATTTTGGTATCGTCTGGATCTGGCTGGGGAAATTCTACGTGAACTGACCCCTCTTTGACCGGCGAACCTGTCTCTTTAAGTGTAGCTTTTTGCTTTATGTAACTGTAAAGCTGTTGATGGTAGGCGTGATCCAATGAGAAACAATTGTCTGTGGTTACATTGCTGCCGCGACGTGCTGATCCAGAGCCTTCTTTTCTACAAAAATGTGGGAGGGATGAATAATCCATTATCTGCATAGTTGGAATGAACATGTCAAAGATAGGAAATAATCCTAACAAAAACAAGTCATGCTTTAAGCCACAAAATTGCACAAGAATCGAACGAAGAACGCCTCGTTCTTTGCATCATCCATATGATTATCTAAAGATAGTTGAACGCAAACTGAAGACTAACTTGAAAACCAACATGCAGATTTTATCTTGAGTTCAAAGAAAACTGAATATGAAAACTATATGCTGATACTAGAAAAAGGACAACATGCATTCAAGAGAGTTTTACAAATATGAAGGAAGGGTATGCTTACCTTCAGCAACTCATCCTTTCCAGAGCCTTGAAGCACCTGAATTTTCCTCTTCGTCCTTTCTTGCAAGAGAGGTTTTACAGCCTGCCAATACTTGCATATAAGCATTTGGATTTCTTTTCGTAAAAATTAGCCGAGAGAAGTGGAACTGGTAAGCATCAAAACCTTCCAACATGCCGAAAATATATACGGTGCATTGACGATATAATATGTCTCTGTCTTCTCAGGATAATTCAGGTCATCAATTGTTGATATAGTGGTAAGTATCTGCATTACAAACAGGAGAGTTAGTGCGGGAACGAGCAGAAAATTCTTTCTTTTTTCATCGAATTACTTTTTCGGATGCTTTCCTGTGAGGAAAGTGATTGCTCTAATATCATGTCAAAAAGCAATTAAAACAACTGGAAAAGGATTCTTAAGAAAGAGGGGTTATATGATACTAAAATGTGCCTTTATTTGATTCAGTGCTGAAAGCTTCAAGCCAGTCATGTCCAAAACCTTCAGACATGTACTGATATGCCGTCCATATTTTTTTGTGGCCGTAGGCTATTACAAAAGCAACATTTTAGAATACTTGAAAAGTTAGCAAGCAATCATACGAGTGAAGAACATCACATTGGCAGAGTCATACTCACCAATAGCACACAATCTCGATATTCATTCATCTGGACGTGCGACTGTACATAGTAATTCACCTAGAACACAAAGAATCACAGACTTAAGTATCAAAGAAATAACTCCATACAATGCAAGCTGAAGTACATGCAGAAAAGCACATTGTTACTTCAAAGCTCAAAAATAGGTCTTTGTATGTGTTAGTTTCAACCGACATGCAAGATTCCAAGGCTGTGATGCCAAATTACGAAATAGAGTTAGAACGAGTTACAATCTACTTACCGATGTCTTATCATATGTGCTAAGCCCAACACCAACAGCAATGATAGGAAGACCCTGTAAATGTTAGAAGGAATTAGGCAGTTAGTCACCATGGAAGATCTTTTGAATTATTAATATGAACATATATATCCTAATCAAATAAGTAAATACCTCTTTTGAGTAGCCCGACAATCCTACAAGCTGAGAATCTCGCACTGCTCTATACATGTTCGTCGGGATAATCGGTTTCTACATAACGAAAAAGTAAAATGAGTGATCTCAAGAATCATCAACCGCCACAATAAACTTTTTTTTTTGGTTTTACACACTCCAGCTGAAACTTTATTTTGCAGCTGAGTCAATTCCACAAGTCAGTATGATCTCTATAAGCATATACAAAAACACATGGTTTTACAATATTACAAATATACAAGGAATCTATTAGGATTTAATAAGAAAACTCACTGCTAATATGTTGTCAATCTCATTCTGTATTCTCCATTGTAAGCAATCAATTAACTGGAGCAAGAAACAAATTAGAATCTAATAAACAAAAAACATGGTATATTGATGCACGTCATTTAGCTATGCTTAAGTGCAACAGGTGAATCTCACCATTTTATGGGCTTTCTGAACATTCCAATCTCTTGCTTTGAGAAACCGCACTAAAGTTTCAGTTGGATAACCATGATGCATGTTCTGCAGACCAAGAAAAACAGCATTAAAGAAAAATTCAGCAGGCCGGAGTATAAACCACATACGTAAAGCGTCGTATTCATCCATCCTATCCACACAAGTGAATAGTAGTAGATACTTTATAAACACTACTAAAACGTAAACATATCCAACTTGTATGGTTAACACATTAGATACTTTATTTTGGCTACTAATATTTCATCTCTTCTTAGATTCAAATACAATTATTTAGCAGGAATAGGTAACCATGAAAAACTAATCTACAAATCATGTAAGATGATCTTACATTTCGATCATACCACCTAACCATTGAATGCTCGCTAACGCGATAGCAATATATTTCAGTAACTAATCAGGGAGGTCATACTAGCAGGAAGTAATAACTAAGCTTTTGTGCAACGATTTGCCATGTTGCACAACTATGTGACAATCCCCCGAAAACTAGCAAAATGCTGAGAAAGAGACAAAGTTCCAAACTGAGTCAAATACACCTTCACAGAACCTAAAAGCTTTATAAGTGATATAAATCAAGCAAGAGATGGATCCAGGGATGGACCGAGGGGGCAGCCAGGCAGTTGCCCCTGGAAATTTCAAATTATCACATAAATTTAGATATTTATTTTGTATTTTCTATTGAAAATTTGTTTTCGTCTATAAAATTTTATAAGTTTCGCCCCGCTATAATAAGCAGTGGGATCAAGTCCACAGCAGAAGTTCTAGTGATTAAAATAAACTTGCCAAATTGTTACCATAAGAAGAAAATCTAATTTCTAGTTATTCTTCAGCAATTTATCTCAGCACCAATTGTAAAAATTATTTTAAAAAAGAAGCTAACCTGAAACGTAGCCTTCATCTGCTCATCAACTGTTAGTCAGATTTCCCAAAAGAAAAAATGTTAGCAATGCGCAGATCAAGAGCAAAGAAACCAACAGAAGGAAATATAGAAAAGAATGGATTTTTTCTTTAATATTTAATCTCACCAGTTCCCATCAAAAACAGAAACTGCTTGATAGCGTCTTGAGGATCAGTGCTCATTTTGTATTTCTTCTTCAATTTCCTCTCTCACAGAAAACAAAAAGAAGGTAAAGAACAAACTTGGATAACAAAAAACTAAAACCAACAGGTCTTCATTGCTGCTCAGTTGTTGATGTTGCTCTCTTTATAGCTTAAGGTAAAGAATCACGCTAAAAGAGATGACAAAAAAAACGCATAAACCATTGAGATCTGGGTTCCTTGCTTTTTGAACGCTGCTGCATTACAAGAAATTATTAAAGGAAATATGTAATGCATGGTTAAAATAGAAAGAAAGAACAAATCATTTTGTAAATACCATATGCATATGGGGAATCTATGCCTTGGATTTTCTTTTTCCTTTTTGACGCCAGATCTCTCGTTAGTACAAATGAACTAATAAAGTTTAAATCACAGAATCAATACCTCATAATAATTAATTATTTATATATATTTTAATGTAAGTACCCATTTTTTGAAACTATCTTTGATTTGTCTTTATGATCATATGTGAATCAATAAGAATGGTGATAAAATTTAAGCCATGCAATCCAACCTAAAGTTGATTCTCAATATTGGTAACTATGGGTGAGGTCTAACGAGGATGAAGATAAAGGGGCGGCCAGGGGATTGGATGGGATATTTATTTCTCTAGTCCCTCTCAAATACAAATAGTAAAATTTAAGTCTTTTAGTCAGAGGTAGGATGATCAAATATAAATGTTAGGGTTTAATGTGTTTGTTTTGTGAAATTGATATGTACCTATGAAGTATTTGAACTGAGAAAATGGTGGGTTAAGGTTTAGTTTATCTAGTTTCAAAATTAAGAGGGTTTAAAAAGCAATTTGATACAAAAGTAGGAATCAGAGCCTAATTTGCACAGTTTCGAAATTAAAAGGACCCAAAAGTAATTAAATCTAAAAACTAGGATGTCGAGGCTTAATTTATCCAACTTCAAAATCTAGAGGGACAATGCTTTTAGCTCTTTTACTAAATTGAAATTTTATATTTTGGTCCATTTCAAAATTTAATAATTCACTTTTAGTCTTTTTATAGATGAAATTTTGAACTTTAACCCTCTAAAAATTTTAGAAGTTCATCTCGGCCCCTATTCACATTTTCTGGTTTCGTCCTACTTAAATAATATCATTTATAAAAAATTTAAAATTCTAATATCATAATCTAATTTTTTTTAATTCCGTCATTATTTATAAATATAAATTAGGGATAAAAGTAAGCATAAAATATAGATTTAAAGCTAATAATTTTCTTAGGAAGAATTTATAAAAAAAAATCTTTTAATAGTTAGTTTGTTAATATTAATATAAAAGTTTCAAACTTTTAAGATTATGTTGGATTTTGAGTAAGTAAATTTATTATCATCCAAATTTGGTTAATTCATCAATAAACAATATAAATATGAAAATATTTTTATTTAATTCATGTACATAAAATTGATATTACAAACATTGTATAATTTTTTATAATTTATTAAAATATTAAATTGATGTTATATAGGAATTTTTTATAGTGATTAAAAAAACAGTTATTATGTTTTTCATATCAGATTACAAACTTCATTAAAAATTAATTAAAATTTTAAGATCTTTTATAATTATACTATATTTTTATATAATTACAATTTACTATATGATATATTGATGATATATAATCGTATATATCATCAGTAATTAGACGATGTTACGTTATCAAAACTAAAATTAAATTAATATTTTTTAATATAAATTCTGATAGATTTCTGACACTAATCTTTGTTGCTAATTATACCCACTAAATTATCATTAAAAAGAGAGAGAGAGATAGGAACAAGCTCCAAGATTTAAGTTAACATCCAAGAATGTTTCCATGTGTTGTTTTGTTTGCTCACTTGCTCAATCATGAAACCTCCACATGCATGATGCCACATGTGAATATTAGGCAAAATTAGACAAATAATACATGTGGAATAATTAATTAGTAAAATGAGACACTTTTAAATTTATTTTGGGACGTAATTTATTTATTATAGTGAAAGCGAACCATAAAATATATTTAAAAAATAAAATTCATCATTTGAAATGGACCAAAATTGTATGAAATTTTTTATCTCCACGTGACGAGTTTCAAACGTATCACTTTTATGTGACGAGTTTCAAACTTGTCACTTTAATGTGACGAGTTTCACATGCATTGTAACAGGCGATCTAAGTCCTAAAATAATTCTCAATCATCCTATTTTTAAAAAAAAATCACCTATATTTTTTTCTAATTTTACCCAAATATTATACAATAAATATATATATTTATGACATATTTCTGAGAAATATCTTAACCTAGTTAATATTTTCTAAATGGTCATTTGACTATAACTCATATCTATTTGACTTAATAGGGTTCCATGTTCTCCACAAATTATATATATACCATTGTATTTAGAGGTTTGAATTAGAGCCCTAAACCTATGAGATCATATTAGGGTTTTTATCACCATTCAGAAAAAAAATACAAATACATAATAATTTACATATACAAAAATATAATCAAACTCATAAGTTTAATTTTTCTATCAAACTCATAACTTTGGGTCAAAAATATAGATGAAAACCGTCAGTTAAATGACGATTAATGTCAGATGCTGACAGAGCAAACACACATGGATGTAGAAGCTAACGTGATATGTTCATGTCAGAGATCATGATGAAGTGACTCTATCACGTCAGAATTTTTAAAAATAAAATAAATAATTTTATGATTAATATTATTTATATTTAATTATTTATGACCAATCAGAGAATGACATGTGACTTTTTGGTGGCGAAAAACATAGAGGTGAAGATTCCATGAATCCGACAACAACATTGAAAAACCCAACTTCTGATCAACAATGACAGTTCTTGAATCTCCGATAAAGTAGTCAACAACATTATCAAAACCCTATAATAAAAAACTAAAAAAAATAAAAATCTCTTCTTTTTACGAAATCATACTACACTTGTAACACCCCCAACCCATATCCGACCCGGATACGAGTCCGAAGTGTCACATTGACTTTTCAAACATTTATTCGTATAAAATAGTGAGTAATTAAAAAAAACTTTGATAACATTTAACTTATTCAAAACGTTTACAAAATATATCAGAGTTCATACAATTTATATCCTTAGATTACATGCCAACTACACTCTATAACCAGTACATATATTTTCTGATCTGACATTTGGTAAGGAGAACTGACCTGTCTTGCTCCGCATTACTCTTTACTCTTCTCGAAACCTACGTGTGAAACAATCACACGCTAAGTCGAAGACTTAGTGAGGCATAACAACTTATAATGCACTTTATAACATATATCAATACATGCATGTTCTGTTCTATCATGTTGTACCAATTCCATGCATTCTTCGTATCATATAAAATCATATCATATTAATTACAGTAAATACATACATACCCATAATTCATCATTAACAGTTTATCATGTAATCACATACTTTAACCTTTTCAATCAAACACTATACACACACAACATCATATCATTTCTATAACATTTATCATACCACTAACATATATTTGTTCATATCTCTGGATTAGCCCATGTACGTATGTGAGAACTATCGATATGTGAGTCTATAGAGGTTGTGCACTAATGTTGTCACCACAGCTCGTATAATTGCACCGAATTGTCGCGTAGAATTGCACCGTAGTGCCATATAATAATGTCCATAAGGACCACATAGAATTCCTTAAGAATCATATACATATGCTAGGGATCAAGTATGTGTCTTTCAAGACTTCACACATGTTCCACAGAATATATATATATCCCGAAGGACCGCGTAGACCCTCGACTCTTGGCATGCCAACTATACCCCTAGCTCTCATGACACATAACATGGGCGTTATCATTTATTTCATTTCAAATATTCACATAAACTTGTAATTCACTTTCACATATCACGTATTACATAGCTTCTTTTCATATTATCACATAGTCACGTAGTTCACTTACACGTAGATCATTTCCATATAATTCACATGTCACATATGTCATGTTTTCATATAATTTCTATCATTTCTCACCCAATCACCTTTATTCATGTAAACATACTTATCATATCTTGTTCACATAAGATCATATACTTCATATAATATATCGAAACACCTAGAACACTTTCACGTAGCTTATAGTCATAGGTCTTATCTCATAACATATACTTGTTTTCACATATATTTCATATCATTCTTATACCATCACATAATTCATTTAACATACATAACATATTATGTAACATTATAATAGAAATACCTATAAGTCATATCACTTAGAGCACACATATATACTTATAGTCACATTGCTTATATCTTAATCTTATGTTTTCTCTTAGACATATATATATATTCATATGTTCAGGTAATCCACCATTTCATCACATAATTATGTATTCATATAACTCATTTCATTTCATATCTATATATATATATATATATCCTCAAGATTTATCTTAAAATAAATCATATAGCACTCTTATAATTCATATTCATATTCATCTAGGGCAGACTTATAAACATATCTCACTTCTATTATTTCTTTATATATATATATATATAATCTAATTTGTTTACTTAATTCAATTTCATATAACTCTTATAATCTTCTCATATAGCTTCATAAATTTCTATCATACAACCCCTGTGTTATAGTTTTATTTAAACATATGAATCTTTCCCATCTAACTTATCTTATATGTTCATCTTATCATTTATGTTCAAATCTCCTAGTTAGTGTACTATTCTCACTTCATCCTATAGATCAATATTATCCAGCTTATTTCACTTATCATATAATAATATTTATTTTACTATGATCACATAGTTTATATCTTATATAATTCATAACCTTTCTTATGTAATCACTTATACTTTCTCACCTAACACATAAAAGAATAGATCAATCCATATAATCAAGCATACATACATGCATATTCAATTCATGCCTTTAATCATGCATTCATGTGTAACACTTCAGGAAATAGACTCATCGCA